GCGCTCAATAGATTTCTCTGCTTCCTAGTCATTTGGTGCCTCTCCTAGTCATTTGGTGCCTCTATATGCTTGTCAGCGTTAATGTAGCTAGTACCGAAACTATCAAAATTAATGAATTGTGATAACATGTCAGTACGTGGGTCATTTAAATGAGCCAAGGTTCTCTCCTTGCAGCTTGGTACTTGCGCCCGTCCTTGCAGGTTTTCGGGTTTACTTTTAGGCCCAATTTTAATAATCCGAACCGTTCATATTTTATGATTTATTCAGTATATCATACCTGTAAAAAATCAAGTTGATCGGATATCAGAAAGCATGTGTTCGGAAAACTGTTTATTAAATTATTTAAAAAATAGTTTTTAGTTCAATTTTTCGAACACGTACTTTCTGATATCCGATCAACTTAATTTTTTACAGGTATGATATACTGAATAAATCATAAAATATGAACGATTCGGATTATCAAAATTGAGTCTAAAAGTAGACCCGAAAGCCTGTAAGGACGGGCGCAAGAACGGAAGCGACAAGGAGAAGATCCTGATCCGAAGAAACACAGCTGGCTATTGATAAGTGGCAACAAGAGTATAGGCAGGCATTTGGGTCAAGCTACATGGACACGGCACCCCATCACCAAACTTTGCTTTTGTGTCCTAGTCACATAATTTGGACAGCTCCTTCTCACTATGTTAGTTGGTGTTATTCCCTTATTTCCAGGTAATGTTATGGTACATGAAATTATGATATTTATGAAATTAATTATCACAAATATCATAATTTAATTTTATAAGAGTTATAATTATAAAAAAAATTATAATTAAATATTACATAAAGTATAATTAAAGAATTTTTAGAATAATGTCAAAACTAACGTTATAATGAGTCATAACTAAAATCATAATGTGTATAAATAAATCATAATCAAATCATAACTAACACTATAATAAATCATAACTAAAGATCTCAAAAAGTATAACACCTCCAAGGGCATATTCCAAACTACACTTTTCTTACTCAGCTTAAATTTTAAATTTGTAAAAAATAAAATAAAACAGAACAAAACAAAATATCCTAATTTGTCCCAGCTTAAATTTTAAATTTGTAAAAGATAAAATAAAACGTAACAAAACAAAATATCCTAATTTGTCCCATCTCTCTTGGCTAGGCTAAGGAAAATATCAAGTGAATAAATATCAGTCAAGATATTTAGTTTTTGTTTAATTGGCCATAAAAATAAATATACATGATAATTTAACTTCCCTTACATTTTCATTTTGCTTCACAAATTCAATTTACAAACAAAGCTTTCAACCCTAATCCAACAATGAATAACCCTGTACAAGTAGATCATAGATTATTTTGGTGATAAAAACATAATATATATATATATATAGAAAATTTTCGCTGTACTCTTGTGAATTAACCTAACCCTCTTCCTATTTAAAAATGGGTAAATTATATTAACGGTCCCTATAGTTTAGAACTCGTGTCACTTTGACCCATATTTTTTTAATTGTGACACATTTTATCATGAATTTTAAATCTTGTTCAAAATAAGGACAATTGAAGATATCATTGCTCAATTTCAAGGGTAAATCATCAATTTGATAAACTATAAACTAATTTGATAAAAATACATATCAAAAAAATATTTTTGAATTTTAAAAATAATTTCCACCCACCAAAGATAAAATTATGTAAAATTGATAAATCTTTTAGGCATTTTTTTTTACCAAATTAATTTTTACTATTTGTTTAGATAATGATTATGTAATGAGTGATTGTTAGACTTTTAATGTGTAATCGATATATTTAATTTATGAAATGTTTTTAGTTTTAGATTTTTTAATTTAATGAATTGGTTTAATAATGATATCAAAGTTATCGTCATATTTGACTTTTGAAAAAATAATTACTAATTTAATGAAAATAAAAACAACCACCCATTATATGATCATCATCCAAACACATAATAAAAATTAATTTGATTAAAAAAAATAAATGTCTAAAAGATTTATTAATTTTACATAATTTTATCTTTAATGAGTAGAAATAATTTTTAAAAATTCAAAAATATTTTTTGACATTTATTTTTATCAAATTAGTTTATATTTTAAAAAATTAACGATTTTATATTTGAAATTAAACAATGATATATTTAATTGTCTTCATTTAAAACAAGATTTAAAATTTAAGATTAAATATGTCACAATTAAAAAGTTAAAAATCAAAATAACACAAAACTCAAACTATAATGACCATTAATATAATTCGCCTTTTAAAAATAAACCCATAACTCCTTATGATTTGTAAGCTAAAATACCCCAGCACACTTGTTAACGACTTGAGCTAAAAAGCTAAAATATCTTTATACATAGGTAATCTCATTGTATATATTACTAATATTTTTCTGATTTTTATTTTTTATTTTTTTAAAAAATAATTACTTTAACTCTCTTGTGCTTTAGTCCATGTTTGGTCACTCTTGTGATAGTTGGAAATGAGCACGTAACCATGTGACTATTTCCAAATGAAAGGAGTAAATCACAAGTAAATAAACGTTTACCCCTATATAAATGAAGCATTAGCCATTAAGTATTTTCAACAGCTCTCTCAAATTCAATTACAAGACTAGCTCGGGCAATGGGCCCAATGTCATCAAACCTTCCCTCTGGGAAGATTCTGTTTGAATTTAAAATATATCTCAGTATGTCAAATTTAAATTCATAAATTTAAATTTATATTATATCTTAATATAAATTTATTAATAAGAATAATACATATTAAACTCTAAAGTATTTTTTTTCTTCTCATGGTACACCGTAATTAATTATTTCTATTCAAATCTAAGTATCTTCTTCTCTAAAAGATCAAAGTTATTTCTTCTTCTTCTTCTTCTTCTTCCAAAACTCTAATTTATTCTATTAAAACTCATCATTATATGCACATACACTTAAAAAGTATAATATTTGTAAAACAATATTTTAAAAAATTCAATAAAAGAGATTAGCCAAACAAGATAGGAACACGCGTCCCATTCAAGAATTTTATCAAACACACTGTAATCAACAAATTAAAATAGCAAAACAACAAAAGAATAACAGGATACAAGGCAATATGCTATGCAAAGTACACAAGTGATTAGTCATTTTAGCAATGTTCAAAGCAATTTTTATTTTTTTTTTAAGTTTTGATTTATAGAATCAAACTATATTACTTCATGGTTAGATGAGAATTTTGAGATATAAACAAAATTGAACTTCTTTTTTTTTTTTATCGAGTGCGTTTGCAATTCAAATTAAATCTTCCATCAACATATAAGGCGTTATTTATCTCAAAAATAAAAAAATTAAACAACAAAAAAGAGAGAAAGGAAAACCCTAGACGCATGATGCTGTCAAGCTGGAGACAAGGGATTGAAAGATCGACCGTAGTGAAGGACGAGAAGTTCGTCGATAGTCTCTAATTATGGAGTCAATCTTTAATTTTTTTAATTTGTTTATTATTTACTATTTGAGTTTACCTGGAGGGTAATTTGAGAAAAATAATATGTAGTGAGAATTATATAAAATTTTAAATAATTGAACAAAGTGTACTCAGTAATTGAGAATACTTAATGATTTTTTGGGTGTAAAGAGAATCCCTCTTCCCTCTGGTATATCTCATTCTAAGACCAACCCAACCGCAACCAAGAGCTCCAAAACATGGAAAAGAACGACCCACTAGACCGTGGGATGTCAAGCCTTTAAAAGTCTAATTCCACAAATATTGTGGCACCATATGCAGTAACACATTCACAAATGTAATAACAAGACCAATGACCCAAAAAACCCAAAACAGATCAACAAACAACTAATGCTTTGAAAAGTAATACAGGAATTCTTCAAGACTTAAAAGGTGCCGGTCTCTAATGCAGGCCCGGGAATTATACAAACATTCTTAGCTAACTGCATCTAAAAGTTCTGAAAGATTTCTCCTTAATACGGATGATAAATGGCAGGAGTTTGTTTCAGCTATAAACCAAGAGATTCAAACAATTTACACCCATTCATGATCTATTAAGATTGGCATCGTCACCTTAGAATTCAAGGCCACAACCGAAGAAAATGTTTCCACTGCAGCAGCAACAGCAAAGTCTAAATTAGAGAGGAACATACTGCACTAGCTTCTGAACAAACAGGACTCCCCTAAATGGAAAAGCAGAGAGAAGTTAAAACCATATTAAGAAATAAGAAAAGTAAAGAGTTTTTTACCAAACCCAAGTCATTTTTTATCAAATTTTCCAAATCCCAGCTGTTTTTAACTTATTTCCCAGACCCAGGTTGTCTTTGAAATCGCGTTTACACAAATTTAAAAAAACTTTAAACACAAAGTCCCACAACTTCATTGTTGGCTGAGAGAAACATGCAAGGTAAAAAAATAACGAAGTGTGTGAAGACAAGGGATGATCACACGTTTTCACCTTTTTTTTTCTTTTTTTTTTAAAAGTCGTGTGTATTGGAAACACAACTTCAATCAAAATCGTGTTTTTAAAATACGACTTCAAAAACAACTCTAGCTTGGGAAATCAGTTTAAAACAACTTAGATTTGAGAAATTTGATCAAAAAATAACTTGGGTTTGATAAAAAATAAAAAAAACTCAGAAAAGTAATATCCAACACCACAAAGCCAAGTCTCAAATCAAATCTCTCTCAAAATATGTAAGGTCCCAACTTCTAGAGCTTTCAAATCCCAGCTTCTTAGTTCTGGCAAACAGAAAATTTAATACAGACATGGCGAGAATATAGCCAAAAAAATATTTTTATTTGTTGTATATAATATTAAAATAATACTTAAAAAATAAAAATGCCATGTGGCGGGTCCTACACATGGACACACGTGTCCACACAGTGATGATGTATCGGACAAGAACAGGACACCCATTTTGGAGTGTCCGTGCTTCCGAGATGGATGGTAAACTGAACTTAATGATGAAATGCACAAAGCCCACACACCAAGGCTAATCTAAATCTTAAAAGTAAGATAGTGCACTGAGAAATCTAAGAAAATGAACAAATTTACAAGCATCAGTGTAATGAGACAGTTGCAAATTGCAATGACTTGACTTCTGAACAAAAATAAGAGTTCGTTTGAGATGTGGGTTGGCTTTTTAACTTTTTGGCTATGTTAACCTGAGCTAAAAAATCTCGTTTGGGATAGGCTTTTTAGTTTTTTTGACTTTTGTGAGAGAACAAATAAAATGATTATGAGTTGGATGTAACATTTTATTCTATTTGGTTAAAATAGCCAATTTTGTCTTATATGGCTATTTTAGTCCAAACTTGCTTCCCAAACGGAGCCTAAGAGATGCTATGTACAAGAATTTGTGTTTGGAAATTGCATGATTATGATAGCAAATTATACCAAGTTCAAGAAAATCAATCAGCAAAGTAAAAGCAGTAATATTAAAATATATATACTATATAACAGTCAAAAAGCAAATTCTCAGCAATAAATGCTAACCCAACAAAAGGAAAAACATCCTAAGAAACTACATATATCAGGAGATTGATTGCCATCCAAATCAATCAAAGATAGAAAAACATCCTTAGTTCGACATAAAGGTACCAGCGTATTTCTCTGGGAGCTCTCATAGTCAACCCACTTTATCTCTCAGTTCTCCTCTCTTTAACTTTTTACCTTGGGAGGAGTAATGTACTTGCAAAGAGGTTTCAGCCTATACCCTTGTCAGTCTGTTTTTCTTTGTCTATAGAGCTTTTAATAATCTCTCTGAGCTTAGCTCACTGGAGTTTTGATCATTCACATTACTCCAAAGATAGCTTCAGTTAGTTGCCACTGAGCTTAGTTGCCACTATTATACAATATACATGTAATATTTAAACGAAGGGCAGAAAAATCATGAAGCTTTATACATGGGGAAAAGATGTATCATGCTCAGTTGTTATGTCAAAACCTCAAGGTTTCACAATCCAAAGGGAGGACCAATTGTCTCCTCTGAACCTCACTCCCACAAACTAAAGGCAAGGCCAATATCATTCACAAGACAAAGCCAGACACTAGCGCCTAATTTGTCACATGCACATCAGCACATATAAATAGGGCTGCAAATGAACCGAGTGAACAGGCTCGGTTCGGCATGTTTAGTAAACGAGGCAACCTCGACCTCGAATATTAGACTCGTTTAGTAAACAAACCGAGCTTGAACTCGAGCTCAAACAAGCTTGGCTCATTTATCTTTATTTAAATCATATAATAATATATTATTGAATATATAAATAATATATATATAAATACATTATTTATATATTAAATAATGTAAAAAATATTTCTTATTTAAGTAATATAAATAATATTTTAAAAAATATTATCAAGTCGAGCCGAGCTGAACTCGAGTTTCATTAATATTAACGAGCCAAGAAGAGCGTAGCTGAGTCCAGTTACTTATCAAGCCGAGCTCGAGCTCGAGCTCGATAAGCAAACGAGTCGAGCTCGAGCTCAGCAAAGCTTGGCTCGGCTCGTTTGCAACCCTACATATAAATGCATATACACCCATATAAAACAAGAAACAATGCCCTTTAACAAAGCCACAAGAAAAAAAAAAGAAAAAGAAAAAGATGAAGGGTGCCAACCAACATCATTAATTAACTATACAAATATAAACACCATACATTCAATTAAATGAATGTTACACCGAAGAAGAAATCTCAAAGGAGTAACGCACCCATGTAATCTACTGATCTCTCAACAAATGGAGATTCTCAAATATATCATTAACACATCATCAACTGAAAAGTTGATCTAGAAAGCATATCACAGGCCAAACAACAAAATAAGTAGACACAGAAACTTACAAAGGTTATTGAGATTCAAATAAAAGACAGGGATCAAGTGAATATTAACTCACATTCAATATTCTCTATAAAGGAAGCTATAGCTCGCTATAGTTGCGCCAAACTGCACGAAATTCCTCACGGAATGTGTTCAAACGTGCTTTCAAATTAGGTGTTCTAAAGCTTGCATGGAGAATGGTGGCTGAGAGGAGAGGAAGAGAACAAATTAGCTAGAAAATATGCAAAATTACAATGAAACAAACTTGACAATATTACCATACAAGGAGGAAGTAATATACCAAGAAGGCCGATGGCCAATGCCCATAGGACACTTAAGAGTCCACAAGAAACAAACCAGAGGATGAAACTCACTATAGAAAAAAGACAATACACGACTTAATCAGACAATATTTTTAACAAACATTTCTGCAATAAAGTTGCACGTCACTAAATTTTGAAAGTGAATTGCTGAAGAAATTTTTCGTACCAATAGAGAATATCAAGACAAACACCCAACGAGGCCGTCCACATATGTAAATGGCTCTTTTAGCCGATGGGCGACCACGAAGAACAGGCCTGAAAAAATTACAGAGTTAGACAAGCAGGAGTACCACATGCTTGCATTCACAACAAAAGGCAACAAACTTACGTAAGAGGAGGCCTCATCTTTGCTGCTAAATGCGGAGAGAACTGCCTTACAGTTCTTGTTACCTTTTCACTAAAAGTACCTGCAAAGCTGTAGCACGAATAGTTAGCAAGAATGCTGTAAAATACGGGATTTTAACGATGATAAAATGAAAAGTCAGAGACCTAGAGTATTGCATAAAAGGAGTAGGTCCCTGGTATGGCCTTTTCCACTACACAACATGAGCAGGATTTCCTTTGTATAGTGACCAATACAAAGAAAGATTTACAAAGCAGAAGTATAAAGTTGATCACTGATTAATAAAAAAACCAATAAAAATAATTACATAATTATTGTTGGAATTTGGACATCCAATCCAAAACCAATTGGCATTAGGTGAAGAGATCCAATTGGCGAAAAGAGAAACGAGACAAAAACCCAAAAACCAATTGTTAGAGACTCGTCCCACCACGCTTGGATGGTTTAGAGAAGTGATGTGGAATAGGTCTTTACATTCTCGCAAGTGCAGCCTGGTTGCACATGGAGGTGTGATAAAGAGATAAACGAGACAAGAAAAATAGACTTTGTGTGGAAATTTGATCCACAAGATCACCGAAAACCCACCTCTGATACCATGTTACAAGTTTTAGAGAAATTCAAACCCAAATCAGGAGGCAATGGGTGAAGATTTGTCTAAACTATATGAACCAAGCTTGGGAGACTTCGAGAAGTAACAATTAAAAATTCAAAAAAACCAAATATAAATCTCTCATAAACACCATGATTTCATGCAAGGGCACACCAATAAATTCAAAGTCTGTCACTTAACATCTACTCCCCTTCGTTGCATTCTAGTGGTCGCTTATGCACATGTGAAAGTCTACGAGCCTCTTCCAGGGACTAAAAATTATTAGCACTAGAGAAGGACCAAGTCACAACATACATAACTGTAAACAAAATTTGAGTCGCCGCAGAAACTGAATAAATAACTAGGCAATTCATATACATGCCAAAATGCATTTACCTAAGAAGATGATAAAGAAAAAGGTCAAAGATGGATAATCAAGAATTGCTGCCAATATTAGCAACTAAGACAACCAAATCATGCCAATTTTTTTCTAGTTTCCTAAACTTGTAAAATAAAAACTTTTTTAGAAACTAATTAACTAATTGCTTCAAGAAATTGCTTTGAATATCTTAAACCAAACCTCCAAGTAAATGTTCAATTAAATATACATGAATGTGTATGCACTTGCCCATGTGAGTGACATAAAAAGAAAAAATGCAGAATCCTGTTCAGCTATGGATGACAAAGTAAACTCTTGAATTTAGACTAAACTAACTGATAGATAGGTAGTCACGTAACCAAAATAACTAGCATGGTATGCACAACAAAACCTCAGCAATGCTGGAAAGATATTTGTTTGTGTAACCCATATTCTCTTAAGACAATCACAATGGTTTTTGTTGTACATATTGAGAGTAGAGTAGTTACCTGGAGGGGTATTGTGGATAATCAATTTAACAGAAGTTATGCTCAATTGGAATTTTTCTAGCAGCTTGTTTCATAGGTTTTAATTTCTTTTTTGTAGTAAGAATTGTTGGGGTTTACCCTAGTTGAACTCTTGTAAGTTTGGTTTTGCTGTTATATTAATCACCTTACCCAAGAAAGAAAGAAAAAAATGTTTTCTTAAATCTTTTCATCATCAATGATATTCAAGTTCGAGACGGCTTGGTGAGGTACAATGAAAACTAGTCGATACAACCATAAAAAAGAGCGACATGATCACCATAAATACAAATGTTAGGAGGAGACCTAAACTGGCATGGAATGTGGTAGGAAAAAAGTATATGAATTTATTTATTTAAATGGACATATAGTCACCGACAGAGCAAAATGGCAAAAAATGATTCATGTACCCGACTCACTTGATTAGGACGCAAGGCTTACTTCTGTTTGGATCACCTATTGAAAATATTCTCAGCTTATGATAACCACCGAACTGCATGAACTAGCACTCGAAAGTATATAACAAAAGCGCTAGCAGCAAGGCTCTAATTATATGAAACAAACTCAGAACATATATTACATCAAAGTGTATGCAACTTAAATAAGTCAACTTGGACAATTCGGTCTGAGGAATAAACTAGCCCTCAACATCTAACCACCTAACATGTGAATATTTGAAAAAAAATGAGAAAACAAATGTTAAAGCATACAAGAGCCCTGTTTGGTAAGTGGGTTTTTAACTTTTTTTTGTCAAAATCCACAAAAAGACAAAATATAATAAAATAGCCAATAAGACAAAATGTCACATCAAACTCATGATCATTTTACTTTTTCTCTCACAAGCATCACATCTAACTATAAAAAAAATCCAACCATCTTCCCAAACACAAAAATTTTAGCCTACTAAAATAGGTAAAAACTAAAATAGCCTACTAAAATAGCCAACTTCCCAAACGAGGCCAAGATGATAACAACAAATTTACTTTTCCTTACAAACCAAATGTTGACATCACAGACTAGTACAAGTTCTGGTTACCCATACCATCAATAAGAAAAAACAAAACAGCACAATACAACGTGAATCAAGTATAGGAGGACCTTTGAAGAGGTGGAGTTGGAAATGTACAGTCTAAAACCTGCTCTTTTACGAAACTTCCATTTTTGGCTCAAAGGGAAATTTTGTGATTCTTGTTTTGCCTTAATTGATTTTATTGGTGACCTTACTTTTGCAAATGTGATATTGCAAGGATTTTTTTTCTTTCCTTGGTATATATCCCGTGTACAAAGGTTGCGCCCCTCTTAGCATTTTTTTTATTTTAGTATTAAATTAATGATTTATATTACCTTTTCAATAAGGGGGAAAAAAAAAGAGAAAAAATATAATACAACGTGAATCAAGCATACCTGTCATTTAGAAAAGCAATGGTAAGTGCTGTCAATGCAGCAGCAACAATAGCAAGTGGCCTCCTCAGAAATCCCAAACCTGCAAATTACAATGCAAACAAATATCAATACAAGAAACATATCTAGAATAGCATATACAAGGAATCAAAATCATCTCTCAGCTTACCCAGAATGAGCACAATCATCATGAAGTAATTCGTCCGATAGCTACAAAACCAAAAAAGCAATCACAATACACAATTTAAAGAAAATAAATATAGCTCTTATGATTACAAAACCCCTCTGTACTATTTGGTTGCCGAGAAACCAATGAAATTTTGAAGGAACAAAAATTTAAACCTTACATCTTTTTTTTTAATACTCCGTAATCTAACCCATTCGACCAACTAATCTGGGGACCAATCACACCGTCCACTAGGGGCAACTAAAGCCGGGACCAAGACCCGTATGGACTTGCCCCAATAAATTGTTTGCACCTAGGAGGTTTCGAACATAATGATAAGACCTTGAGGTCGCCTTACCTCAGAAACCAAAAATATCGACTCTATTGAGCTTCACACAAACCTGGGTTAGGTAAATTACGTTTCTGGAATCAAATAAGGGTCCAAATAGAAATTCAAAAACTTTCTGTTTCCTATAATAAACCCAATAAAATTCGAGTCGATTGAGATCCAACCAAACCTGGATTAGTTAAATTTTGTTTATGAAACCAAAGAAGGGGTCAAAATAGAGTCGTTTCCTACAATATTTCTGAGCAACCAAACAGGGCATGAAAATAGAATTGTATAAATAGATATGAATGTGAAGATATATATATATATATAATTGAGAAAGATCGTACTAGTAGAGATTGCACTTGAGGCGACTGTTCCATTTGGAGGAGGATCGGGGGATAGTGAATCTGGAGAAGAATTCAGAGAGAGGGCGAGGAGGTGATGACCAGTCCACTTCGCGTAGGGCTTCGATCAGATCTTCTGCGGTCACGTTCCCCCAATCCATTTCCAATCGGTGCGAAACCCTAGACAGCAAAACCAATACGAAGGAGACGAAGATAAAATGAACAGAGAGATCGACGAGAGAGAATTGAAACTGTTTGTGAATTTTGATTGTTTGCAAGAATGGTGAAGTATATGCGATTGATGAGTGAGAGAGAGAGAGAGAGAGAGAGAGATGAGGAGTTTCTGATGAAGATCGGAAACATTAACGCGGAAAGAAACGTATTTTTATTTTATAAAAATTTTAAATAGAGGAAAAAAATTAGGTTAATGTTTGGTTTAGTTTTTAAAATACGATTTAGAAAAGGAAAAAAATTTTAAAAAAAATTGGTTGATAAAATTCTTAAAATATAACTCAAAACTTTTTTGATTGTGATTTCAAATCACAATTCTACATCTTAATTCAAGCATTGTGTTTGGTTGTGATTCTCAAATGCTGTTTTGAGAACTCTGCACAGAACATCTGTGTTACTCTGCAATATCAGACGTATTGTTCCTTTTTTTTTTTTGAAATTTATGCCTTGGGGATGTCCACCTGGAAGACCACCCGGATGTCCACCCGGATGTCCTTGGGGACGGGGACGTCCACCCGGATGTCCTCTGAATTCCAGATTTTTTTTTTTTTTTTTTTTTCTTTACATAGTCGGGGAAAATATTTTATGAAATTTTTTAAATTTTTTATGTGTTTTAAAATAATTTTGAGTTGTATGTTTAGTTATGAGTTGTAAATTTTTGTATCACATATCAATTATCACATCAACAATTCCCCACTCAAATCAAACCTCTTTTCCAAAACTATTTTCAAAACTCTTTACCAAACAAATTTTCTACCCTCAAATCATAATTCTACAACACACAAACTCAAAATACAACTTATACTCTCAAATCACATTTACAAAACACAACCAAACGCAGGCGTAATTTCTTACGTCTTTTTTTTTCTTTCTTTCTTTTATAATTAATAACCCCCATTTGATATTTGAGCTTTTTAGACTTTTTAACTAAATTAATTATAGGGAGTTTTTTTGATAAATCCATTTTCTAAGAGTTTTATTTCATTCAACTCATATTCTTTTTTACTATTCCATTAGGTCCAATTTGAGATAAGAAGACCAAAATATCCTTTTCATCTACTTATGTTCCATTTAGTTCACTTAGTTCACATTATTTTCTTATATTTTAATAAGTCCTATGGGTGACATAATTACCAAAACACCCTTAATGTGAATGTTCACACCGTCAACATAAATGTTCATATCGTCAATGTGTAGGGGCACGGCCCATGTCGATCCTCGTGGTTGCCCGGAAAAATTCGAGTCGGGCCGGGCCGGCCCACAGGCCAAAAAAATAGGCCCGGCTCGGCCTGTTGATAATATGAATATTCACATTGACAAGTTAAAATTCACATTGATAGGAGCGTAAAATTGGCCAGCGGCCCGTGGGCGGCCCGAAACCAGCTCGCCGCCCAAGGTGGGCCCGAACCGGCCCGTTCACAATGTGAATATTCACATTGACATATTAACATTAACAATAATATTGACAAGAGTGTAAAATTGGCCAATGACCCGTGGGCAGCCCGAAGCCCGGGCCCGGCCCGGCCCGTTGACAATGTGAATATTCACATTGATATGTTAACATTCACATTGATAGGAGCATAAAATTAGCCCGCGGCCTATAGCCGGCCCGAATCCCGCCCGCGACTCGTGGGCTGCCCTGGGCAGGCCCGGCCCGACCCGTTGATAATGTGAATATTCACATTGACATGTTAACATTCACATTGATAGGAGTGTAAAATTAGCCCGCGGCCTGTGGCCGGCCCGAAACCAGCCTGCGGCTCGTGGGCTGCCCTGGGCGGGCCCGGCCCGACCCGTTGATAATGCAAATATTCACATTGACATGTTAACATTCTGTGAATATTCACATTGTCAACGGGCCGGGCCCGCCCCGGCTCGCGGCCGGGTTTCGGACCGCCCACGGGCCAATTTTACATTCCTACCAATGTGAATTTTAAAATATGAATGTTCACATCATTAAATTTTTAATCGTTCAAAAAATATTTATAAGGGTATCAAAATTAAATATAAGGGTATAAGTGTCCAAGAAAATAGTGTAAATCAAGAAAATAAACTTTATGGAATAAAACTATACATACATGGGACTAAATGGGTTAAAAAATTCCTTCATGGACTTCTTAGGTTAAAACACTTCTAAATTGGACTTATCAATAAAAATCCCTTAATTATAAAAAGATAAAATAAATTAAAATTTTAATAAGATAAAATATTAAATCAAAATTATGATTATTTTAATTTTTCACTCACAAAATCAAAAATACCAAGTCAAACAAACTTTTTAATCCCAAATTATAATAGCTAGATAATCAATCCCCTTTCCAAACGAAGTCTAAATCAATAAATCCTTTTTTTCTTCTTCCTCTCTCATTTCTCTTCTCTTATTCTTTCACATTTTATGTATCAATCAATCAAATTTTCTTTTATATATATATAATTAAAAAAATAAAAATAAAAGTTACAAATCATTCAAAAATTATTTTTAAAACTCATAACTAAATAAATTTTTAATTTTTTTTTATTTTAACAATTCATCTTTTAAAATATAATGCACATTTCAAAAACTTAAAACTTAAACCAAATGGAGCGAGGAGTTTCTAATGAAGATCGGAAACACTAACAAGGAAAGAAACGTAATTTTATTTTACAAAAGTTTAAAAGAAACACATAAAAAATAGAATTGTCTGAGCCCGGGTTCGAACCGGGGACCTCTAGTGTGTGAGACTAGCGTGATAACCGACTACACCACCCAGACGCTTTTGACCTGGTCGGCAAATTAATGATATTTGATATAGAAACAAAATTTAACTAATGGGCCCAATTTGAACGGGAATTTTTTTTTAAAAAGGGATAAATTACAAATATATTTTTTGAGATTTTCTTAAAATATAAATTATCTCATTTAATTATGCAAATTACATCCTGCCTTTTCAAGTTTTAAATTGCATAACAAATAATCTATTTTAGAGCTCATTTGGCATTAGCTAATATGGTTAACTTTTTTGTGTTGGGATTTTTTAGCCTCGTTTGATTTTTGTTTTGGGATTTTTTTGCCTTTTGTGAGAAAAAAAGTGTAATGATTATAAGTAAAAAGTAATAGTTTGCCTTATTGGCTTTTATAGTCAATTTTATTTTTTTGTGATTATTTAGCCCCAACATGAATGCCAAATCGGGGCTTATTAATAAATTATCAAGTCAATTAACTAATTTAATAATGTTAGAAATATATTCCAATTAACAATTCAGGTAATCTTATTGTTTTATAAGAGACTAGTTAGAAATTTTATTTTTTTATTTTTTGTTATTTTTGTTAAATAAATTTTTTTAACAAACAGTATTTATAATTTCTAAAATCACATGGGGCAATTTATATTTTAAGTAAATCTCATAAATATCTTTGTATCTTAAAAATAAAAAATAAAAAAATGTAAATGAAATATAAACGAAATATTATATTTCACACATCTTTTTCTTTATATTTTTAAATTTGTACATAAAATACAATTTAAGTTGATAACAATTGATTTAACAATGGGATGTGTTTTTTTTTTTTTTTTTTTAAAGATTATACTTTTTAAAATCAATATTAGCCAAGGGGTGTTTGCGGTTTGGTTGTGGCCGTAGAACCTTCAATCTGTTATTTGTCCATCAGGTGGGCAGATTGGAAAAAATCAATCAGTATCCGTCCACCGGATTAATGGATGCAGATTGAGCGGATTAACGGATGAATACGAATCGGTTTGGCAGTTTAAACTTTTATAAATTTTGAACATAATAAAACAATTTGTCATTATTTTTTTTGGATAACAATCCAACTCTATAACCAAAAGATTATCAAATAAATTGTCAAATACCAACAATAAATACATATAAGAAAACTATACATTATCAAAACTATTTCATTACTTTTTTTTATTCAAAAACTATTTAATTTTTGATTTTTTTTAAATGACAAAATTAAGCCTTATATTTTTCACACAAAAATACCAAATATCAACACTTGTCATTTGATAAAAAGATTTCCAAATTGAAAACACAATAAAATATTTAAATCATTTTTTAATTAAAAACACAAATAGAACATCTAAATAAATTAAAAACACAAAGGCATACAAATTTTAGGGTACTCGAGATTTGGCAGTTCGGTTGCGATCAAAAGAATCGCAAATCTGTCATCCGTCCAAAACTAGGCGGATTGAAAAAAAATTAATCCGCAACCCTCTACTCATCATCACACATCCATCTAAAATGCGACGAATCAATTCAATTCGATTGATTTAGACGAATCGAACTATTCGCCACTCACCCCTAAGTCAAGCACTTTGTAAATCACAAAGATTATTTGTGATTCTTTAAGATTGCGCACACAAAGAGCTTCACCATAGTGAAATATATAGTGCCACACAACAGACAACATACATTTCATAGAAATTGTTCATCTTCATTTGATTATTCTTCATAATCTTTTACACGCAGTTTGTTTGCTTGGATATAACACAGCAGGATATGATATCTTTGAGATTTGGAAAAGTAAATACAATGAAGAGGATTTGAGCATTGGATAACATATCCCAGGGCCCTGTTTGTTGTGTACAGGATTTAAGCATTGGATATAAATTATTCATGTTTGTTTACAAAAGGGATGGGGTATATGAGCAAGCAATTTCCAATTTTGCCCTCATAATACATAATACTGCCGATCTGGGCCACCAACACCCAACATTTTGGAATTAATAACCAAAATTTCAAGATTTGCCAAAGTAAAAAATTGTTATAATTAAAATTAATAACCCAAAAATTGTTATAATTAAAATTTTTATTCTTAAACATAACCATCATTCTTTTGCTTAAATTTTCAAGAGGTTAATTTTTATCAAAGCAACTATCCAATAATGCACTAATAATTCCATTGGCCTAAAAAGTTAGCTTAAATTTTTTTTTTCTTTTGCTTATTTTCTTCTTTATAAATTGACTCAAAATTTACAACTTAATTCATAAACACAAAATTAAGCAAAAAAATAAGCTAACTTAAGCCACATCAAAGAAAATCTTGATTGTTTTCTTGTCATTCCTAAGGCAATAGGCAACAATAAACAAGGCAATATACAACTGGGTAGAATCAAATTCTATATCTTA